GGTACGACATATATATATATATATATATATATATATATATATATATATATATATATATATATATATATATATATATATATGTCGTACCTAGTAGCCAGAACTCACTTCTCAGCCTACTATTCAAGGCCCGATTTGCCTAATAAGCCAAGTTTTCCTGAATTAATATATTTACTATAATTTTTTTCTTATGAAATGATAAAGCAACCCTTTTCTCTATGTATGAGGTCAATTTTTTTTTATTGGAGTTAAAATTAACGTAGATATATGACCGAACCTAACCAACCCTACCTAACCTAACCTAACCTATATTTATATGTAAGGTTAGGTTAGGTAGCCAAAAAAAGCTAGGTTAGGTTAGGTTAGGTAGGTTAGGTAGACGAAAAAACATTAATTCATGAAAACTTGGCTTATTAGGCAAATCGGGCCTTGAATAGTAGGCTGAGAAGTGCGTTCTGGCTATTAGGTACGACATATATATATATATATATATATATATATATATATATATATATATATATATATATATATATATATATATATATATATATATATATATATATATATATATATATATATATATATATATATATATATATATATATATATATATATATACGACATATATATATATATATATATATATATATATATATATATATATATATATATATATATATATATATATATATATATATATATATATATATATATATATATATATATATATATATATATATATATATTTATATATATATATATATGTCGTACCTAGTAGCCAGAACGCACTTCTCAGCCTACAATGCAAGGCCCGATTTGCCTAATAAGCCAAGTTTTCATGAAATAATTATTTTTCGACTACCTAACCTACCTAACATAACCAAACCTAACTTTATTGGCTACCTAACCTAACCTAACCTATAGAGATAGGTTTGGTTAGGTTAGGTAGGGTTGGTTAGGTTCGGTCATATATCTACGTTAATTTTAACTCCAATAAAAAAAATTGACCTCATACATAATGAAATGGGTAGCTTTATCATTGCATAAGAAAAAAAATAGAGAAAATATATTAATTAAGGAAAACTTGGCTTATTAGGCAAATCAGGCCTTGCATAGTAGGCCGAGAAGTGTGTTCTGGCTACTAGGTACGACATATATATATATATATATATATATATATATATATATATATATATATATATATGCGAACAAGCCTGAATGGTCCCCAGGACAATATGCAACTGAAAACTCACACCCCAGAAGTGACTCGAACCCATACTCCCAGGAGCAACGCAACTGGTATGTACAAGACGCCTTAATCCACTTGACCATCACGACCGGACATAATGAGGTGATAGCCGAAGCTATTTGAGCCACCCCACCGCCGGCACTCGGATATTGTCCTGGGGACCATTCAGGCTTGTTCGCATTTGTGTTCCTCACGTGTGCCCCAAAGAATGAGGTGATTTGGTAAAATGCTATGCCCAAGATTACCATCCGAGTGCCGGCGGTGGTCTGTAACATTGTGTGTGTGTTCGTTCGAAAACATTGCTAGTTTTCCATTGGTGTATTCTATTATAGTAATACGTACTCAACATTTCCTAATACTGTGTTTTGTAGTTTGACCGTATTAGTGTTTTAAGCTGCCAAATTTGTTAGGTACAGTAAATAGTTTAGTACAGTCGATAGTAAACACGTTTTTTTTTCTAAATTCTTAAAAACATTTCCAATACGTTTTCTCAGTGCATCTCTGCTGGTCCACATTATCAATACAACGCGTAAGGCTTTAATAGAAGCTATGAATTTAAAATTATTAACATAGAACGCACAGGAATATTGATCCACAGTGCAATACGCTATCTTTATTGTTAATAATAAGTTGTATACCTGAAGGTAATAAGTTCTCTGGACCACTGAGATATTTTAACTACACTTAATCCACTTAGTGTTATTGATAACAACTAATGAAACACTACAGTGTCACTTGAACCCATTTACAATTTAAAGTTACCATTGCACCTAGAATTATGTTCAGGTTCCGTTAAGGATATTAAAAAATCAATTTTAGCTTAAATTATCTTGTAAATTAGTTTAATAAATGGTAAATGATTTTCAACATTTATAAACTCAAAGCAATAAATAGCGAGAATATAATCAAAGAGCAATCTTTTTAATAAAGACCAGAGAGCTAAATAAACTTATGAACAATTGGAGAAAGGGTCTGATAGAACCTTGTCAAATTACAAATATCGAAAGTAGAAATAAGAAGCCAAGAAAAATTGTTGCATTATTCAAAGATTTATCGTTACGAGGGTCATCTGTCCATTTCACCATATACTTAAGTCAGTGCAGGTGTTATTGTTACTAAGGCACTTCGCCATTTATAAACCGTCCCAATCATTCGTTGTCATTGTTACCCTCGCTAAACTTCACATCTTGCTTGCAGCTCTCACTAGGCTTCACCTTTCTCTTATTGTCTGAAGTGACAGAGAACGTCGCTTGTTATTGCATGAAGCCCCTGTCAGGTATACTGTAAGGTACCCAGGTCATAGCCACCGCCTGACAGCTCGCCCTGGAGGTAAAAAAGCAAATTAATATATAAATATATATGTATATACATATTAGTATATTTTGGTAGCAGTCTTTCCTGTAGACATATATTATTAAATATGACCGAAAAAGTAAGATTAATAATTCTAACACGAATTTTCTCAATCTTTCGTACATTTCTTTTCACTGTTGGTGGTAATTCAAAAATCAATTCTCAAAAATTCATTTTTATTTCTAGTCTGACGTGACACTTGAGCGCGTTTCGTAAAACTTATTACATTTTCAAAGACTTTAGTTTAAACATACACAACTGAATAGAACTTACACATCTCCGATTTGTTTATATCTACATTTGAGTGAGGTGGATGGGGTGAGGTGGTATTTAATAAGGTATTAATTTCATCAACACAAGACAGAACACGAAACAATGGGTATTGAATAGAAGTGATTGTAGAAAGCCTATTGGTCCATATTTCTTGATACTTCTATATTGGAGCGGAGTCTTGAGGTGGGTAGAATATTGTTGTGCATTAATTGGCTGTTGATTGCTGGTGTTGACTTCTTGATGTGTAATGCCTCGCAAACGTCAAGCCGCCTGCTATCGCTGTATCTATCGATGATTTCTGTGTTGTTTACTAGGATTTCTCTGGCGATGGTCTGGTTGTGGGAAGAGATTATATGTTCCTTAATGGAGCCCTGTTGCTTATGCATCGTTAAACGCCTAGAAAGAGATGTTGTTGTCTTGCCTATATACTGGGTTTTTTGGAGCTTACAGTCCTCAAGAGGGCATTTGAAGGCATAGACGACGTTGGTCTCTTTTAAAGCGTTCTGTTTTGTGTCTGGAGAGTTTCTCATGAGTAGGCTGGCCGTTTTTCTGATTTTATAGTAAATCGTCAGTTGTATCCTCTGATTTTTGTCTTTAGGGATAACGTTTCTATTAACAATATCTTTCAGGACCCTTTCCTCCGTTTTATGAGCTGTGGAAAAGAAGTTCCTGTAAAATAGTCTAATAGGGGGTATAGGTGTTGTGTTGGTTGTCTATTCAGAGGTTGCATGGCGTTGCATGGCCTTCTTATGATGTCTTCGACGAAACTATTGGAGAAGCCGTTGTTGACTAGGACCTGCCTTACCCTACAGAGTTCTTCGTCGACTTGCTTCCATTCTGAGCTGTGGCTGAGAGCACGGTCGACATATGCGTTAACAACACTCCTCTTGTACCTAATATGCGTTAACAACACTCCTCTTGTACCTATCTGGGCAGTCGCTTTTGGCATTTAGGCACATTCCTATGTTCGTTTCCTTAGTGTAGACTGCAGTGTGGAAACCTCCGCTCTTTTCCATGACTGTTAAATCTAGAAAGGGCAGCTTCCCATCCTTTTCCATCTCGTAAGTGAAACGCAGCACGGAACATTTGAGCGGAGTTCCGTGCTGCGTTTCACCCAAAGAGATTCAGACTGATTGTGGGAGTGTGTTCCAATCGAGATGGTTTAGGCAAACTATTGCAAGCTGGGGGATAACCCAGATTCGGTCTTCGCCCTACAGACCGCAATCGCAAGGTTCCACTCGACCTTGAAGACCATGTTAAGAGTGTTCTGCACCGAACAAAGAACAGAATGGGATGAGGCCGTGTATCTGGCGTTATTTGCGATACAGGACGCAGTGGTAGAGTCTCTGGGATTCTCACCGTTTCAACTCATGTATGAACACGAGGTGCGTAGTCCCCTATCGATGCTGAAGGAACAGCTAACGTCGGGAGTGGCCATGAAATCAGTCGACGAGTATGTGTATAAATTCAAGGAACGACTTGGAAGTGCGAAGAAGTTAGCAGGAAAGCATCTGAGGAAGGCCCAGAGGAAGATGTCCGATTGGTATGATCGGAAGGCCGTCCAAAGGGAGTTTCATGTTGGGACCCGGGTGATGGTGCTGCTACTCAGAAAGAGCAAGGTGACTGAACCGCGTTTCGAAGGACCATACAGGGTTGTGAAGCGGATAGGCCAAGTGAACTATGAAATCAGCAAGCCGGACCGATCCCGTAAGATGCAAGTGTTTCATATAGATCGTCTGAAGCCGTATTTCCAGGAAGAAGGAAAGGCCACCGATAGGAACGGGACGATGCGACCAGAAGGAGAGGGGAGAGCAGTTATGTGTATGAGACTGAACCAAGAATTTCCAGAGGAAGAAGGAAAATGAGCCCGTGCTGATGGCACTCATCTTTCTAACACCGAGAGTTTAAGAAGCTACGGAGAGAAGTTACAACATCTGAAAGGGAAGCAGAGGGCCGATTTTATGACCATTTTTAGAGAGAATGAATCTATTTTCACGGACGTGCCCCGACGCCACAGGAGTGTGATACACGAAATAGAAGTGAGAGGTGGTAGGCCAATTAAGCACAGTGCATATCGGGTCAGCCCGGAGAAGAGGGAGCTATTGAGGAAAGAAGTGAAATATCTTCTGGCGAACGACCTAGCAGAGCCCAGTAATAGTGAGTGGAGTTCGCCTTGTTTGTTGGTAAGGAAGAGCGATGGGACGTACCGTTTTTGTACGAATTATCGGAAAGTAAACGCCATCACCGTGTCGGATTCTCATCCTATGCCTCGCGTGAATGATTGTATCGACCAGGTAGGCAACGCCAGGTACGAGTCGAAGGTCGTTCCCCTGAAAGGATATTACCAGATATCATTGACCAGGGAGGCCAGAAAGATTTCTGCTTTCGTCACGCCGGATGGGCTATATCAGTACAAGGTGCGGCTGTTGCTTCCAGAGAATGATGAATGAGGTGCTTTGGGGGGGCCGAAGGATGCACGGTGTACATAGACGACATCGTGGTGTACGCCAACAGTTGGGAAACACACTTGGTCCAACTCAAGGAATTATTCAGAAGGCTTGAGGAAGCGAACTTGACAGTGAATCTAGCGAAAAGCTAGTTTGGAAAGGCTTGTCTGGAGTACTTTGGGTTCATTATAGGATAAGGAGAAGTGACCCCGGTTGATCAGAAGGTGACAGCAATCAAGGAGTACCCCGTGCCCAGAACAAGGAAGGAATTACTTCGGTATCTGGGAATGATAGGCTACTACAGGGGGTTCTGTGAGAATTTTTCCACCATAGCCCACCCACTGACGGAGATGTTGTCCAAGAATAAGAGATGAAAGTGGAGGGAAGGCCTGCCAGGAATCTTTTGAAAAGACGAAGAGCCTGCTGACAGAGGCCCCTGTTCTGATATCCCCAGACTTCTCGGCGAGATTCATACTATATGTCGACGCCAGTGACGTTGGAATAGGAGCCATGTTGGTCCAAGAAAGGAACGAGGTACACAGACCAGTGGCCTTCTACTCAAAAAAGTTTGTAAAACACCAGCACGCCTACAGTACCGTCGAGAAAGAGGCCCTAGCTCTGGTCATGTCCTTACAACATTTCGATGTGTACGTGGGAGGAAGTGTGCAACCAGTACTAGTATTCACTGACCATAACCCATTGACCTTCCTATACAAAATGAAGCATTCAAACCAGAGGTTAACGAGATGGGCGTTGCTTCTGCAGGAATATTGGTTAGAGATAAGGGAAAAGAGAATGTAGTGGCAGATGCCCTTTACCGTGTGCACTGATCAGATATGACTCTTATTTTAAGGGGAGGGGGTATGTGACGGTGTCCCACCCCTATATTTCTTCCTTCCCAGCTTAAAAGAGTAATATCTCCGTAACCTGAGTATTCTCTGATGATCAGGGAACATTTTCATGTGTGGAAAAGCGTGGAGCGTGATTAAACTGGCTGTAAAATGGCCAGTTAAGTTTGATAATGCAAGGGGCTTACGCCTTTTGGGGCACAAGGTGGCGACAGTCCATTCTGTTTCCCACCAAGACGTCGTGACTCCTCCCGGCACCTGATTGACCAGGTGAGGTCACGTGCCGGAAGTGACCAATGACGAGAGCCCTCGGGTGGTGTGACGTGATGAGGCGGAGGGCTCTCGGGGCCACTGGCGCCTGGGTGGGAGAGAGAGTACGTCACAAGCCGCCCTAGAGTGAGGACGCACTCAAGTGAGCTCCTGATCTAAAGGTTAGAGAGCCCTTACCAGTAGATTTAAGCATCACTTCGATACGGCAGACAGACCGGGAGGCCACCCTTGATCCGCGGAGTACCCAGAAGCAAGGATAGACCGGATTAGAGAGCCAAGAGCTCTATCAAGAGTCTGCAGCAGGGACGAACGTGGAGGCTGGAGACGTCTGGGACGCCCAGCGGACCGACCGCGTTACACATATCAAGTGAGAAGCTACGGCCGGGCCGAATCTACTGGCAGTGAGGCGAAGGGAACTGAGCTGGACTGCAAGAGTCGGCAGTGCCAGTGAGAGTGCAGGACGACGACGGAGGTACCTGTCTCCAGTAGCCCGGAGAAGAGGAGGAGGAAGGCAGTACCTGTCGGGAGTGAGTATGGCCAGGACACGATACCACAAGGACGACGGAGGAACCTGTGTGTAGGAACTGATCGACGGGAGACCAGAAGCTAGGACCAGGAACCTCAACATTCCTCAACAGAGGAGGATTCAGCTTTGTGGTTGGAATGAAGTAAGGTAGATAATTGTCCCTCCCTTTACCCTTTTGATCTAGGCGAGCTAGGGTATTTTATATATTGTGAACATTTCTACTTATCATTTTATTGTCTAAGTGACAGAGTGTTAGGCTAGGAGTCAAGAGCTCATGTAGGCTTGATAGTGGTGGAACATAAATGTGTTGATGCGGTGATGTTAGTGATCCTGGAGGTAGTAGCTGGTTTGCAAGGAGCCAGCAACGAACTATGAAACGCCCAGCTGATCATGTTGTCAGAGGCGCGGGGAGAGCCCCGGCTGTTTTGACAGTTGGAGCCATCAGCTGACCATGTTGCCAGAGACGTGTCGTGAGGAGTGTTGCCACCAGCAGACGATTCCACTTATAGACATTTCTTTATGCAATTTATATGTATATATATATACCTTTTCTTCAGTAAACTTTTAAACTAACTGATGAGTTTAAGTGAGCCTCCATTCTCTTGG